AGACTCCAACTCAAAAAAAAAAAAAAGGACAAAAATAATACCTATTTCCTAGAGGCATGGTAAGGATTAAATGAGGTGATATATGTAAAGTGCTTAGAACTCACCTCCCATACAGTGAATACTCCATAAATGTTAGTTGTTGTTGTTTTTTTGAGTTGGAGTCTCACTCTGTCAGTCCACTCATCTCAGCCTCCCAACGTGCTGGGATTACAGGCTGAGCCACTGAGCTCAGCCAACCACCGAGCCGGGCCAGCTTTTTGTTTTTTTGAGTTGAAGTCTCACTCTGTCACTCAAGCTGGAGTGCAGTGGCACACTCATGGCCACCACAGCCTCGACCTGCTGGGCTCAGGCGATCCTTCCATCTCAGCCTTCCAAGTAACTGGAACCACAGGCATGTACCACCAAACCTGGCTAATTTTTTGATTTATTGTAGAGACAAGGTCTCACCAAGTTGCCTAGGCTGGTCTCTAACCCCTAGACTCGGGCAATCCTCTCGCCTCAGTCTCCCAAAGTGCTGGGAGTACAGGCATGAGCCACCATGCCTGGCAGATATCATTTTGAAAACTAAAAATCTGGGGGGAGGGGTGGGATTGGCAATTAAGGGAAACTGCTAGGGGAGAGAGGGGCACACCTCATCAACAAGGAAGGGTACCTGCATAATCAACATTTGCACACCTATCCCTGAATTGTACCCCACATCTTTATAATTAAAAAAAAATAAAAATAGGCCGGGCTTGGTGGCTCAGCCTGTAATCCTGTGCTTTGGGAGGCCGAGGTGAGTGAATTGCCTGACTCTGCGGGTTCGAGACCAGCCTGGGCAACTTGGCAAGACCTCATCTCTAAAGCAAGTCAAAGAAAAAAAAAAAAAACAAAATAAATTTATGTATCTGGCCTTTCCAACTAGACTGTAAGCTCCTTGAAGTGAAAGTGATTACAGCCATGAACCACTGCGCAATCTTAAGAGTTCCAGGTATCCACCAAGAATATATTCAGTACTTAGCTGAAACCTCCATGACTGCCTTTAGGACCTTGGCATTTCAAGTTTCCTCAGCCGTTTTGCCTGCTTCCTTTTTTTTTTTAAGTTGGAGTCTCACTCTGTCACCCAGACTGGAGTGCAGTGGCCGCTCCCGGCCACCGCAACCTCGCCTGTTGGGCTCCGGC